TTCAGAGTTTGTACCTCCGTCAATTAAAAATGTCAGTTGCAGTCGTCTCCGAAGTCAACAACGATACTTCTTTTAATGTCTTCTCATTCGACCCACTGTTATGAAAACTCTAAAGTAAGGAAGTTAATAAAAAAATACCTTTCATAACATATGTAACTTTGGAATTGCTATATAAAATAGGCTTCTAAAAACTATCATTACGTAAAATGAGGAAGATTTAATGTGGAAAAATTACGTTAGTGACTTTACTGTCCTACATAAACTAGGATCGAATGCATTAACACGAACGGGAGACATGTCATTTTTTGGTTACACACGCTATTCGTCATACAACAACATTCCTCAGTAAACCGAGACCTTTTATTGTCAAACAAGTTCGACCTTTTTCTTACATCTCACTGTATCCATTGATATCGATAAATATACGAGGATTAGTTCTGAGATACGCTGCTTCGACAAACTGGACTGACAACGAAAATAAAATAAAATGATTAACAAATAATGAATGTCCCAAGTCTCGTCGTTATATTATTTGAATATTGTATTAAACAGGGGAAATATTTATTAAAGGTTTTGAGCACATTGAAGGCGAGTGACGCAAGATATTTAAACAGCGTTTCGGTTGAAGGCACCTACGGAAATTTTTATCACAGAGCATATTAATATAAACACATCAAAACAGGTCAAGTAATGTTCATCATCATATGACGATTGATAGAATAGTATTGGCCCTAGGATATGTGTCTACTAGATAATATTTTTTATGGGTAGCAAATGTTTTTTTATGTCAAAGGTGGCAAACGAGCAGGACGGCCTACTTAATGGAAAGTATTTACCGTCGCCTTTGTTGCGGGTGCGTTGCCAATCTTGTTTTTTAGGAATAGAGAGGGATGGGAGTAAGTAAATGGTAGGAAAAAGTGGGAATAGGGAAAGGGCAACCGGCTCTCTCACTCATCGAACGAAACGCAGACATCAAAGTCTACTTCACGCCGATCTTCAAGTAAATAACTTTACATTTTCTATATATTTATATATAGCAATATTATATATTCAATATTATCGTCTTAAAAATATCCAAAGTGTCGTCCGTTATCTATTTTGTCAACTTTCATCCGATGATTTCATCCTAAGGTCAGACAACCGGTATGGTTATAAAAAAACCTAACGTCCGTTAATACAAGAACTGGTCTCTCAATTAAGATCAGCTGGTCGACACTCCTACTACTAGTCAGATAAGGGACCTTGTTCAAATATAATAATTTCACAAAGACTATCATATTAAACGAATGAGATCTAAGATTTTCGCGAGTACTCATTTAATGGCTACTTTACAGCAACCAACGAAATTCCGAAACGTCGGAGTATGTAGTTTATAGTCAAAAATCAAAAATCGCGTAGTAAATCCGAAAATATTAGTTTCATTTATATTTAAACGAAATTAGCATTATCTCACCCCAGTGCAACTAATTCAATTTCAAGACTCGACATAAAAGAAAATACCTATAAAAATCATTTTCTATCTACAAATATAACACGACTAGCAAGTACCTATGATATCATTAATGAAGTGTAAAAACAGCTTAAAAACATTTATCATTGTAATAGGATTCTACCAGAGTCGGTGATCAATAAAACCGTTGACGGAATTATTGTTTGAACATGTCATTCCTAAACGATCGTTACAATTCAAAATTACAAGGCTGAGAAACTACGCCTAGTAACGTATTTATAATATTAAATATATAAAAAGTTATAAAGAATTAATGGTTCTAACAAAACCTCAATAAATTTTTACAAAGTGAAGGTATTCAAGATACGTTTAAAAGGAATTACAAGCAATCAATTAAATAAAAACATCCCAATGTCTACAAAATAGTCATCAAAGGACGTACAATGAGGACGGTGTCACAAAGGCGGTCCCCAAAGTTTCCAAGTAGAAAGCATCTTCCAACGTTGTCCATAGCGGTGTCTTTATGACTCATTACTCCACCAGGAATGCCCGTACACCGAACTGAACAAGCAGTGTAACGCGTCTTTACTCGCCCTACCACGCATTGGGATAAGATAGTTTTTTCTTGAATGGCATAAAGAAACAATATATAAATGTATATATGGGGAATTCATATTTTTAGGAGTGAAATTTGTGTTATTTTACTTTTTAGTATCCATAAAAGTTTTATAGTATGACAAATAGTTGGTATTTGTCAACCGATCTCCAGATACGGGCCGTTCCCATTTCTAGTTATGTTGGATTGTAATAATTCAGAAATGAAACACATTCTTTTATGATGTCTAATTGTGACTACTCACATATTGAAAACAATTTAAATTTTCAAGCAATATTAGTATGGTAATAATTAATATCTGTGGTTCCGTACATGTAGGTATTCTATTAGGTACTTTAGATCGACTTAAGCTACTTATTTTTAGCATTTAAGAAACAAAGTAATAGCATTTTTTTTGGTTGTCGCCAAATATATCGTGTTGTCATCAGCCGTTTGATGTTTAAACTTCTATAGATAAGTGACATAATTTATGATCATTTTATTTCACACGAAATTCAACCTAAAGGCATAGATAATAGAAATAATCATTTGTTATTTGTGTTCGACGTCGTGTGGTTCCACAGTTAACTTGCAAACAGTAATTCACACCTTTACAGATACAATGATTTATGCAAAAAGAAGCTCTAAATGCGTTATCAGAAATACAATTTTCGTTTGAAATATATTTGCGAAATGTTTAGCTTGGATAGTAGATTGTAATTTTGTCTTTATATGTATTATAATAAGGTATTTTTTCGTGTATATTTTAATACATTGTATTGCCATCAAGCCGCCCTGTCAGCGGGGGTTGCGGTGCGATTGAAACACGTTCAAATATCGCGTTACCCGTGTTTCTGTTGGAGGTCCGTTCCCCGTAATGAGGACCGTTGTCGAAGCATCACTAAAGGTGAAATTATTGCATCCTAAATATGTTTGAGATGTACCACAGCGGAGCCTTTAAAACATTATTGTCCATGTGGAAAATTTAAATACAAAGCTTATTTTATTGTTGAGATACATTTTAACTAAACTGCAGCGACAGTAAAATTGCAATAAAAAAAAATATAAACGGTAAAAATAAATTTGTTATAAGTCAGCCCACAACTCTATATACCTTTTGGGATGACCTTAATATTATCTTTAAGACGCATTCATCAAATCGATAAATCTAATGAAATTGTAGAAGAACATATAAATTTGTTTTTATTTTCAACGTTCATAATCCTAATTATTTCTAGCTTGAGATATGCTTACTAGCTACACTCTACTAGAACAAACTGTTCATCTTTATTATGAAGACTCTTCCTTTACACTTCTATATAGAAATTAAACAAAAGAATTATAAACACTCAAAGAGTTACAGCACAATTTTTAACTATTATATCTATTACGTAATATATAGAAAAATGTCTCGATAGATCAGATAACAATTATATGTAAATTTAATTCAATTTTTCTGACTTATTTCTTCAAATTATCACAGAAGCTGTACTAAAACTGTTCTAACTGTTACTTTTCCGATAAGGTTTTAAACTCCTTTGTGTGAATCAATAAGAAGTTGCGTATACCATTGTTAGTTAAAGATGTCTTTGTTAACTTTTCGCGTGTTTAACTACGGTTTATTGTTTAACTCGGTTTAACCTACCGTTAAAATATTAAGAACACAATTCATTATTGTATGAGTTACTTGTAGAAAGATAATAAAGTAATCTTTACCTTTTATCAATTATAATGTTAATTAATTTGTTATGCAATAATGGAAAATCTTCTGGGGACACGCTCGCTAATTTTATTCAAATATTTTCGGCAAGGTCGTACATTCGCCTCGCTAACGTCACGAATATATTGCAACATATTAAAGGATACGAAACATATACACATATATATGTATTTATATACTAGAAGACCCAGCGAACTTCGTATCGCCCTGTAATTAAGAAATATTTTTTACGTTTTTTTATTTATATTTTTGGAGTTTACCTATTAAAGTCATAAATCTCCGTGTTTTGAAGTGCGACAGAATGATTGACATATTATTTAGTTGTCAAATCTATTGTAAAAAAAAACATTTGTATCAACAGCTACTAATAAATTAAAAATTAATTAAAAAAACATTGTCCAACGGACAAAATTGTGAATCTAAAAACCATTCCCAGATCCCCTTGAACACACACAAAAAATTTCATCCAAAATTGGTCCAGTCGTTTGAGAGAAGTTCAGTGACATACACACTCACAGAAGAATTATATATATAAAGATATAGTAAATATTTACACCTTTATGTACACAAATAAGTGGCTTTCTTATTTCATTCACTATTTTAACTAACAGCTGCTCATAATAAAATTGCGTCTTTTTTGTAATTCATTGACGCTTCATATAATTTTTTTTTTATTATTATTATTTTTTTATTATTTTATTATTATTATTATTTTTTTTTTTTTTGTACCCTATGGACTATGTGTTCGAAATAAAGATTTATTATTATTATTATAATGTTCTGTACAGACGGAGCAAGGTCGCGGAGCAGGTCAATACAAGTCTGAACAGGTAGCAGCAGGATGAATGAAGGACCTCTGTTACAAACATAGTTTATAAACATAACTATATGTTATATGTTTCAAGATTAATTCATATCATAAGATCTAAGACGAGTATTCATTTAAATGAAACTAATATTATTATTATTATATTACGCGTATTTTATTACTTTAAAATCTAATAAACATACTAATGACGTAGTTTGAAACAAGATAACCGAAACATAAAAAATTGTTTTTTAAAATAATAAATCATATGACATATTCAAAAGTGTATTAATGAATCTCATTAGTCATTATACATATTCGACATTAATTTCTACGCAACTTCTTGGTTTTAGCTTCAATCAATCAATCAATGAATACTAGTTACATATATAGTGTTTGAGGTAAGCTTGTGTCGTGTGTGTTCCAGGTCCAGCTGTGAGCAGCACCTTGCGGCAGCTGCACGCACAGCTGGCCAATCATTACCAGCTAAATCACGAGCTACACTAGGGTTGACACACGACACGCATCGCTGTTGAGGGGTGTATAGACGTGTAATTATGAGTATTGAGTAGTATTGTACTAGATTGTATTATAACACTTTGATTTATAAAACATTTCCTTGAAAAGTAAATTTCTTCTAAAACTATATATAAAAAATCAAGTTTAAATATCATCTTCTATGTATACACAATTATGTATATATCAAATTTTTAAGTCATTTATATACCTATACATATATTTCAAAATAAAAAAACTATTGTCGCGTCAACCCTATACGTGTACCAAATCACTACGTATTGAACGCCACCCACCTGTTCCTTTGTATTGAATATAAAAATTAAAACAATAATAACATATATAGTAATTATTGTCATATACTGAATATTACTCTTCTTCCTGGCAACCTCCCAGCTTTAGCCAGGGTCTGCGAATACTGAATATTACTGTAGTATTAAATCTTTACTAACAGCCACCGATCATTCTAGTACATATTATATGAGAGCAGACAGATGAGTCCAAATCAAAAATTCATCTGAATAATTCATCATTAACAAACGCTAGCAGGTCAACAGTCAGCCTCTGCTTACAATATATTTATCCCTTGTATAACAATACATATTTAAGTATACCCTTTATGTCACTTAATACTAGCTTATAGAACGCGTTGATGTCTTTTATATGTAAATTGTATTATAATATGTTTTAATATTAATTGTATAAGAAATAATTTCTTTATTAAGTTTAGTATAGGAAGAGGAAGATAGAATATTATTAATATGATTTATTTAAAGATGATCCAATCAGTGTATTTACACACAATATATGTAGATGGAGTTAGAAGGATTTGAAAAAATAAGCTTTAGTAAGAAAACGAAGGTTTTATTATAGAAAATAAATGTAAATATTTAAAAATATTTTATCTACATATAGGAACACACTCTTTTCTCTACTTTCAGAAGACTCTACATATATGTCATATAAACATATAAATAAGTTATTACACACTCATATCTATATGACATATGACAAATGCCACCCGTTTAAGGCTGTATTTACACCTTGAATTAATAACGTGACAAAATCATAGTACAAACAAAAAGAGAATGGACTTGGAAGAATCTATCACGTTGGCACTGTGTCTGATTATTATTAGGGTGACCATATTTACATGCATTTAAAACTACACTTACTATTAGTTTTCGTTAACACTAAAATACGGACAATTATTAATTTATATAAGCACGTGAGAAAATTATGTACTAAAAACTTATATTCAGTTTGATGTGAAAACTCGTAGTAGAGGTGACGTCACACTGAAAGTAATTTTCTGGACTGTTTTTAATGGACAACTCTAAATATATAACTAGTAAGACAATTTAATACTTAAAAAATAGTTGGGACATCGTCTTATATGTAAAGTGTAGTCCTCATTAGCCTATACAGTAGATCCTCATTTTGTGTGTAGTGATGGTCACCCTACTCATAATACCTGTTCATCACAATCCATCATACTCCTAACGTTCCTTCAATTCGGTTCCTTGGAGAGCTCTCGAATGCTCGTACAATGTGATTAGGGTTATTCTGTCATTATTTGATTAAGTAAAATTAAAAATACATAAATTATTAAAAAACAATAAATCAATTTAATTTCAAAAATATTAATCGCACATTAAGTTTAATAACATGATAATTTTGGTATTTTCTTAAATTACTTTAATTAATTATTTTTGAAGTAAATCTTTACGCAAGCTTGATGAAGGAGTAAGCTGATGAATGTATGACGAAAGAAAAATCAAATATTTGTACCAAATTCATATCTAAATATATGCATATACATATTAACATATACATATATGGAACGAAAGAATTTTTACTTCACCGTGTGATCTAAAGCAAAACTGGTTTAATATTTCTTATAACAGATAGTAGAATCACCCAACCAATCTTTATCCAGTCAGGAATCAAACGCGCGACCTTTAACTGTATTATCGTCATCGTATCGACTGAACTGACACATGTGTCTTTTTCATGATACAACAATAATAATAGTTTGAATACTTTCAAGAAATATGTACTGGTAACATATCTACGACATTCACCTTGAAATACGTTGAATATTTTTTAAATATACGTGATTCGTCACGTTATAAAACGTGGGATTTTATTGAACCTATCTCTTTGTAATACAGATGCTATTTGACATTATCATAAGAAAAATAATTTTTAATTCACTTCTTAAAGCTATTAAATTACAGTTCTTAAATAATAATATAATAATTTTTCTCATTTATTCAATATTGCAATACTAAATCTGACTTTAGATTTTGAGAGGAATCCGGTTAAAATAATTGTCCTGATCAAATATCGTAGTCTGATTCTTTAATAAAAAAACTAGTGACGAAGTTATCTTGAAGTTAAAAACAATATATTTAATAAGTAGCAAGAACATAATCTTATACATATATAAAAATTCTAGGCGGTGTTAAACAGAAAAACTCCTCCGAAACGGCTGGGCCGATTTTGATGATTTTTTGTGAGCATATCGAGTAGGTCTGAGAACGGCCAACATTTTATTTCATACCCATACATACAGTGTTGTTCACCCTTAATAATTTGTTTTCTGGACGATGTTTTTTTGTTTTTATTTCTTTATCACCAACTCCTATTTTTTTTAAAGAAAATCAATTGGATTATTTCTATCAATATTTACTTACTGAGTAATACATTTAAAATATTATAATATAAATATTAAAAGACTTAGAAACAGACAAAAAGATTCAATGAATATATAGCTATTCTAAGTCGATGGTAATTTTAATGTAATAAATGCGGACAGCGAGCGTTCTTTCACGTGTGTAATTGTTTACAGTGATTTACATCAAAATGGGTCTAGTATAAAGGAAGGCTCCACAGAATTAATATCTTCAAATTGGAGCCTTTCATACTGAACGGGTCGATGAACTTTGATGATTAATCTGGATCTGTAGGATGGACATACATACATTATGAGAACTGAAGAATAGGATTTCATATTAATTATTATATTTCTCATTTAACCCTATTTACAATACGTAAGGCAGACCCTGGATAAATCTGGGAAATTGCCAGGTAGAAGAAGAAGAAGATTTTTCATTTCACCCATTCAAATTGTTCTATACCTAATAATTTTTAAAAATATTCCTATTCGTATTTCAATTAATATTTTTGTAGTTACAGAAAATATATCTACTGCATTTATTACAAATATCTATGCCTATTTACAAGGCATTATTTGAATAAAAATAAAACTATTAATTATTAAGTAGTATATAATTTCTCGTCTGTAGCCGTCCTAATATCTCCTCAGAAAACACCAAGAATGCATCACCATACACGAGACGGTATCTCATTGTGTGTGATCTGAATCATATCTATTGGACGGACGTTCAATATTTACAATAGAAACCCTCCGCTCTCCGCTCTCCGCTCTCCGGTCATTATTACATATGAATATATCACCAATTATCTCACAGACTAAATTACTTTTTATTATCTGTCGCGATGACGTCACACAACAAAGGATTCATTTAAACGTCAGTTATGTCAGTCACATATAAATCAATTATTTCACAGACTGAATATTTTTTTAATTATCTGTTGCGATGACGTCACAAAACAAAGAAGGATGCATTAAACGTCAGTTATGTCAGTCACATATAAATGTCATTTAATTATGTAATAGGTAATTCTTTTAGGTTTTTATATGTGAATAGATAAATATGATCCTTGATAAATGTAATTTGATATATTACGAGTATAAGGAGTTGTCCGCTTCGTCGAATGTTAATATATTTTGGGGCCAGTTTTAGTACAATACAGGGGTTGCATAGTTCGGTTCTATTATCTAGTTTGTTGAGATCGTGTTTCTGTTATTGTCATGTTAATGTTCTTGTAATGTGAGAAATTCGGTTAGAAAACTAAGAATATTCGAACCCTTTCATAATTTCACCGGTGAATATACCATCAATTGATTTTTATCCCCGTCTTTTGTTGTAAGCCAAAGCTTTGTTAACCGCGTTTTTTATCTATTTTCATTTTGGTCAATTCAGAGTTTTTTAAAAAACGTTGAAACAAATAGTTTTTTGAGAAAATCGAACGTTAATTCTAATCGTAATTAAAGTATACGTCTTACACTTCAACTTTTAAAATACGGATTCACATTGGAATATTTTAAGTACAAATTAAAGCATAGCTTCCAAAGCAAACATACTTTCTAATCAGATCAAATAACTCTTTGTTCTATAGAAAAATTCCCTCAAATTTTTTGCTTATAAAACGCGTGAATCATAAATTTAATCGTTTGAAGACGAAATAAGTAACAAGAAAATACGGGGGGGGAATTAAGAATGCGAAAACGTATTTGAACATAAATAGATTAACTTTTATGTTTCTTTTTACGATTTTCTAACACACCAGATATTCATGAAAAATAATTAAATTATCAAATGTATACAAAACAAATTTAATAGTGGGAAACGAATTTGTGTTTTCGTATAGTTATATGTGAACAATTATGACAAATACAACATGTGTAAAATAATAAAAAGAAAAATTATAAAAGAAAAAACAGAGGCTAATCCAAATGAATTTTAGTTGCTTCTAAGCATTGTGGTTCTGTATCGACGGTTCTCACGAGTGGACCTGCACGCTATTACAGGCATTTCGACATTTGGTAGATAGGTTTTAAAACGTTGTTTACCAATCATAATAAATATCTTGAAAGTAAAACCAGCAATAAATAAATAGATTATAGAAACTATTATTATACAACTTTATAACAATCATTCATAATGAATCTCACTGTTGGTGAAGTCCATAAGTCTTCCTTTGATCGTTATTCTTTCTTATTATGAAAATCAAATACAAATCCCAAGTCTAGATATTGCAATGAAGAAGTTCCACCACGTCAATATAAAATACACGCCATCTAGTAATTTTTTTTAAACGAATCTAAACTCGAAAGCGAAGAGCGAGACGGATATAGAACTAGTTAGAC